TTCATTAGATATGGCTCTTTTTATATTTATAGAAACCCACTATGCTCTATTAAAGATGCATTAAGTAACTTCTTCCACTGTAAAAAAAAAAAAAAAGTAAAAAGAATAAGTTTCACCCCACAAGAAATCAATAGTACTTTTATAAAGTATATTTAAAACTCCCAGAAACAAAAAATTCCACGTAAACGAAAATTACTTACTGCACCTTTAAAGTGCCCATTTAAATATGTTAATGTAATAGTTCACCCCAAAATTGTCACTATTTACTTTTTTCCCATACATTAAATTGAAAGCAAACGGTGACCATCTTAACGCTTCACGTCTGGAATCGTTTGATTCCATTCATGGTGACCTTGGTGTGAATCGCTGGCTTTTTTCAAAGAGATGAGCAAATCAATCCTTACATTTATTAAGAGTCAGGATTGTTTGAACTTTATCCAGAGTATATGTGAGCATAAGTGAAGTGAGTGCCATTATGATGATGATGTCCATTGACCAACATCTTTGCGGTCCTTCGTTAACATGACATCACCTCTGAGCTGTGTGCACTAATGAGTCAGTGTGGATTTGAGGTCACTTTCTGTTGGAATCATTTCTCACTGACAGCCACAGACATTCTAGATTGGATTTGTTTAAAAAAACCATGGGCTTATTGTTATTTATTGATTTTCCGCGTGGCAGCATTAATAGTTAGCATTATGAGAGTTTCAACCATTGCTGTATGATTGATTCTGGTGAACCTAGCCAATGGTTTGGTGTGCTAACAATTTGGATTTCCGAGTTAGCACTTTCCATGAATAAAGGCATGAAAATTCAGTGAAAGAAGGTGCTTAATCAAAATCAGCTTTATTTTATATATTTAATTATACACTACCATGTAAAAGTTTACAGGCAGTAAGACATTTTTTTTTGGAAGAAATTATTCAGCAGGGATGCATTAAATTTATTGAAAGGAACGGTTAGGAAAATTTAATAGAAAATGTAGTTTAAATAAATGTTGTTCTTTTGAACTTTCTATCCATAAAATAATTAAGAAATATTAAGCAGGACAATTGTTTTCAACACCAAATCAGCATATTAGAATGATTTCTGCCACTGAAGACTGAGGTAAAAATAACTGCTGAAAATTCAGCTTTGCCATCACAGGAATAAATTACAGTTTAATGAAAAAAAAATATTTTGAATTATTATAATATTATTATAATAAAACCGTTTTAACTGTATTTATAATCATATAAATGAAGCCTTGGTGAGCAAAAGAGATTCTTGCAATAACATTACAAAAACACACACACACTAAAAATAAAAATTAACTAATTTAAATGTAAAACAAGAACAAAACGGTATGTAACGTATATGTATGCCAAATTAAGCTAACTAATAGCTAACTTGTGGCACAGTGTGCTGGTTTGTAGTTTTTCCATCAACAAAGAAAACCATTTGTTTAATATTTTTATAATAATGTTGGTAGCTGGGTTCAAAGGTTGAGTTTGACATATGTTGGTCAGTGGTAATAATATACTCCGAATTCCAGTCTTGCTTTTTGGGGATCACAATTGAAAAAAAAAATATATATATATATATATATATAATTAGGGAAAATTATGCATTAACAGGATTGAGTATTTAATACTATTATTGCTCTTCTCCCGAAACATCTAAATAAAAGGATATACCTTTCAAACTGCAAAAAAAAGCAATGCAGTTAGGCCCTTGTGTAGGTGTTTGACATTCTAAAACATTAATAAAGGTCTGGATTGGGTGAAGGAAACAGCAGAGAAGTATTTTGCCTCTTCCTCCCCTGGAGTCTCTTTAGTCACAGGTGAAAATTGGTTTTCTCTACAACTGACAGTGCTGTCATGTTTATCTGCTTGTACTCAAGGTGTTGCCAATGGATTTATTGTAAAAATGATTTGTGGAGCATGAACTTGTTTTATGTCAAGATAAATCTTCCATCCTTATTCCTGTAGACATGTTTGCATCTCAGCAGCTCTGCGCACATAAATTGTTCAGCTGATTGATTTTATAAAAAGTAGCAAAACATCTACCATGGTATTCCTTCTCTGAAGAAGACTAGAGCGTGAAACACATTGAATTAATTTGCTTACAGCAGAAGTTCCCACTGGAAAAGAGCTCATTTTAAAAATGCTGAGTTTGACCTCCTCCGCCACTAATTCAGGATGCATTCATTACACTCAGTCTTTCCAACCCTGACATATTTGACAACGAACGTGGGCTTGTTATTGTTGAGCCCTTTGCCTGTAAGTTTCACTGGCCAGTGGAAACACTAGTATAAGTACATTTTTGCGTTTGACCACATGCACATACATTCATTCATCAATATTTCAGCTGCATGCTTCAGGGATTATTGCGGATTCTAAAAGGAGATGTTCATGAAGTTGACACGGGCAACTGGATTAATAGATTTCAGATGTACGTTGGTTCTATAACAACCGCTAAATTGTTAGTGCTGTGTGAGTAATGTGAGCAGACAGTGTCTCTTTGCATAAAGTGGTGTCTTGTACAGTTGGTTTTGGCTACAGACCTTTTGCAGAAATTATTTAGAGTCAGAATGAAAGCTTAAGTGTGAAAGTTTGTATGCTTTTGTCATATGGAATCAAATTATATTTGATCTTTTGAAATAAAGACGACTATAAAACATATTGTAACTTTCGGAAGTCAAAACCAGAAATAATATTTATATAAAAGTGCCACTAATTCAGGATGCATTCATTACACTCAGTCTTTCCAACCCTGACATATTTGACAACGAACGTGGGCTTGTTATTGTTGAGCCCTTTGCCTGTAAGTTTCACTGGCCTGTGGAAACACTAGTATAAGTACATTTTTGTGTTTGACCACATGCACATACATTCATTCATCAATATTTCAGCTGCATGCTTCAGGGATTATTGCGGATTCTAAAAGGAGATGTTCATGAAGTTGACACGGGCAACTGGATTAATAGATTTCAGATGTACGTTGGTTCTATAACAACCGCTAAATTGTTAGTGCTGTGTGAGTAATGTGAGCAGACAGTGTCTCTTTGCATAAAGTGGTGTCTTGTACAGTTGGTTTTGGCTACAGACCTTTTGCAGAAATTATTTAGAGTCAGAATGAAAGCTTAAGTGTGAAAGTTTGTATGCTTTTGTCATATGGAATCAAATTATATTTGATCTTTTGAAATAAAGACGACTATAAAACATATTGTAACTTTCGGAAGTCAAAACCAGAAATAATATTTATATAAAAGTAAAATTAAGTACATTGCTTAAACCTTATGCTGCTCTTGGCTGTGCATGCTGCTCTGGATATCCTTCTAAATTATGAAGTTTGATTTTAAGAAGGTCCCTGATCGTTTCAGTCACATTTCGATGAGGTTAGTAAAGGAAGGATCAGTTAAAAAGTATATTGCATGAATGGTGTTGTTAAAACATCTGCCTGCAGGAGAAACTGGAGCGCGCACACACACACATACACACAATCTTATAGGGTCAGAAAGAAAGGTGGAAAATTGTAATGAAAAACTGAAATATGACTCTTTTGGGTGCAAAAAAATTGTAATAAAAATGTATACCCCCTTAAACTGAAATTTACTGCTAATATACACTATTATTCAAAAGTTTGGAGTCTGTAAGATTTTTTTAATATTCCTGAAAGAAGTATCTTATGCTCATCAAGGCTGCATTTAATCAAAAAGAATCAAAATTGCTGAATAAAAGTATTATTTTCTTTTAAAAAATAAAACCTTACTGACCCCAAACGTTTGAATGGTAGTGTATAACCAAACAAGTACTCTTACATTATAGCTATGCTGTGTCCCTGACGAACTGTGTGGCTTAAAGTGATGACTTCGCAAACAAACCTAAAATATTTTAGTAAGGTACTGTACCCAGACTGAGCTGCTTATTCACATGGAAACTCCACTCCACTCAGTCCATGTGGAAACTGAAATGCCTTCGAATGTTTCCATCTGCTTTTAGTCTGCACGATACTATAAAAGTGTTAGTATTCATAGCTCTGTGAACCTGAGGAGGCTTAGAACCATATAAAGTCCCCATGCAAAGCTGTTCTGTCGATGAGATGAAAGCAACAGATGTGTTTATTCTGTGCATACTTTTCTCCCTATATTCCTACAGTTCATTTAGAAATGATTTCTAAATTAAGTCAATACAAGGATGGTATATTTATGCTACTATAGGTCAATAACAAATACAGTATTGTGAAATATGTAGTAATTCTCAGTAAATGCTAAAGTGGAAAATAGTGTGGCGCTTCAAGTGTTGTGGGTATTTTATTTTACTTTTTATGCTCAGTTTTTTGACTTCATGAATGAAGTAATGGTGTAAGGCATGTGTAATAAAGAGCCATTCAATGTGATTTCATTAATATCAGAGTACACTACTATTCAAAAGTTAAAGAAATTAGTACTATTATTTAGCAAATGCATTAGATTGATCAAAAGTGACAGTAAAATATTAATGCTGTTTTTTATTTTATATTCATTATATACAAAAATATTAAGCAGCACTACTGTTTTCAATGTTGATCATAATAAGACATGTTTCCTACACAGCAAATCAGCTTTGCTGATCATGTGACGCTGAAGACTGGAGTAATGATGCTGAAAATTCACAGGAATAAATTACATTTTAAAATACAGTAGTCAACATTTGAAGTGGATCAAAGTTGTCCTAAAACCTAAAACCAAAATGCATTCTTGTCTTAGGACAACTTTGATGAACTTTTTTTTGATCCACTTCAAATGTTAACTACTGTATATTCAAATATATTTGTCATTTTAAATATAATACTACTTCACAATATTACTGTTTTACTGTATTTTTGGTCAAATAAATGCAATCTTTGTGAAACTTTTTTCAAAAACATAAAAAAGCAAACTTTTGAATGGTAGTGTAGATAAAATGCAAGCATTAGACTTAAGTATTACACTAAAAAAAACACTGTTGAAAAGTTGAATTGACTATTTGGTTGTTTAGGAGCTGGCGAGCTGTGGATGGAACAAGAAGGAGAAGCATAGCCTTTCACCCAACGTTGTGGCCTTCACACGGAGATTTAACCAGGTAAACAATATTGTGCTAGTCAGTGTAACCAACAGGTAAGATCATTTATTAAAAGCTTTATGCTGCTCCAGTGTTATTACTGTATTTTTGGTCAAATAAATGCAATCTTAGTGAAACTTTTTTCAAAAACATAAAAAAGCAAACTTTTGAATGGTAGTGTAGATAAAATGCAAGCATTAGACTTAAGTATTACACTAAAAAAAACACTGTTGAAAAGTTGAATTGACTATTTGGTTGTCTAGGAGCTGGCGAGCTGTGGATGGAACAAGAAGGAGAAGCATAGCCTTTCACCCAACGTTGTGGCCTTCACACGGAGATTTAACCAGGTAAACAATATTGTGCTAGTCAGTGTAACCAACAGGTAAGATCATTTATTAAAAGCTTTATGCTGCTCCAGTGTTTATTGTTTGCTAAACTTAAAACTTGTCTTAAATTGACAGCTGGTGCCATGAGCTAAAGACTGTCTTGCTACATGTGTAATTGTGGTATAAAGACATTTTTATTTTAAGATATTGTTGTTGTTGTTTTTTTTAGATGATTAATATTGGTTATTTTACTTGTAGTTTCCTGATGCATTGGTAATTTCAGTAAGATCTCAGTTTTGTTTCCATACTATAGCAGTTTAAGAGACAGTTTCATAACAGGTATAGAGTGTAATTTTTTTCAGGGTTCGAGACCTAGGTCCATTAGCACCACCAGAAATAACTCATATAATAGAGGTCAATGGATGTTATTATACTGAAACAGGAACATTGACACTGTGTTTTAGTCGCAAATGCACTAATGCTAATTTGACACATGGTCCGCTAGAAACCTCACTATATAGCTGATAAAGTATATTTTATGTAGACTATTTTAGAGCCTGCCATTTAGGCTCTGTGTTTAACACATGAGTCTATTAGTGTGAAACAGAAGTCCGTTAGGTGTCCACTTATACAAGCTCAAATGGAGGATGCATGTTGCTTCAGATCACATGAAATTTGTATTTTTACTGGATATTACCGTTTTTGTAGCACAAACAGGCGTCCATCATGCTGCTCCATTTAGCTATTTTAACCAACAGCTGCATTAACTCCATTAGATGAATGAATACACTGCACTGGACACATCCAACAAAAATGGGGTTTTCTCCCTTTTTTCCAGACTAATGCCAGCCACTCTTCTTTGTCTACTTCAGTTTTGCCACATTTTTTATAAGTGGCATTACATGCATTTGAAAGGGTCAATGAAGTACATAATAAATAGTACTTACACATACAGAACTGATGTTTTACAACAGCGGATTGTAAACTTTCAGACAAAGCACCACTTTTGACAAATGAAAACAACATCCAAGTACCCACCTAGTCAGAACAATGTTCCTTGAGTCCCTGCATCCTCTTTCTGCACACCACACACACATCCTTACACACATTATAATGACCTGACCAATTCATCAATTCACACAATTTTACTGTAAATGCACAACACTTTCTTTATCCCCATTTCTGAAAATACGCCTATAAATATCCGCTTATGAAGGTCAGTATGCAGTAGGAATGAATATGATTTTTATTTAAATGGTATTTCTTTTTGGCAGAGCTTAAATGTCTTGGAATGTTGATGTAAGCGGTCATTTGAGGTCTGCAATTACACTTGCCATTTCGGTCTTTTTAATGTCATCATTAACAACCAATTTCTTATATTTCCTGAGTGAAAAAAGGAACGATTCAGTTTTGCTGCTTAGATTCATTTGATTGATGTTCTGGCACTTTTTAAAGCCTGTACGTAAGAGAAAACACTCTTTCTGAAAACTGTTTTTCAAATACAGTTTTTCTCATAAATCGATGATTTCCGGTATTTTTTCATTAATCTGTTTATGTTCATTTTTAGGAGTGTATTAAAGCTTTATTTTGAGATCTAGTGTGTGCTGCACCTTTTGAGTCATTGTTGCTGAGAACGGTTGGTGTTTTTTTGTCATCACAGTAATTACATAACATATAGCCATAAATTATATGCGTCCATGTATTTTTAATTTCTTTTTTAAATCCTAACTTTAAATCTAAACTCTTATTCTGCAGAGATAACCATACATCGTGGAACTAATTTAATTCACTTACTATATTTTCTTCTCTTAGGTCAGTTTCTGGGCAGTGAGGGAGATATTGACGGCTCAAACATTGAAAATCCGAGCAGAAATATTGAGCCACTTCATCAAAATTGCCAAGGTGAGACATTCTTTGGCTTTCACTGTTCCTTCAGCCAGTGCAGCTTGGTTCCTTTATTTACCGTTAGTTATTTTTTCTTTGTCTGTGTTGCCATGGCAGCAGAAATATAACTGACCCTATAAATTCCAAGTTCAAGTTCAGTCATTTCTTATTATTTTTATTCACATATGAATTGCGTTTGGTATCCTAGTAATTGTCCTTGGCTCTGGCATTAGTATAACTAAGCATGGGCACTTTCAAGAATTTTCCTTTAACAATGGGCGATTTTAATGACGTTATACAAGTCTTGATGGATTAAAGCCTTCTGTTTTAAGTCAGTGAGAATGGGTAGAGACATTGCACAGGAGTGGTGAGTATTTATGGCATAAAATGAGGATGAGGACATCATACAAATGGCTTCATCTGACTGAGATCCATCTCAGACTCAGTTTAAACAGCCTGCAATATATCAGTTTTCAGAAATCAGAATCAGAATCAGAAAGAGCTTTATTGCCAAGTATGTTTGCACATACAAGGAATTTGTTATAGTGTCACAAGCTTCCAGTACAATGAGACAACAACAACACACAGATAATAAAAGTGAGATGTGAATAAAATACACATGCATAAATATAAACCACAAAAAAAAAAGAATAAATTGTATGTACAGGTGTGCAGGTGTGCAGGTGTGATTAAACTGCCTCCATTTGTGATTAAACATTTAAATCACAAGAAAATGCAGAAATCAGAATCAGAATCAGAAAGAGCTTTATTGCCAAGTATGTTTGCACATACAAGGAATTTGTTATAGTGTCACAAGCTTCCAGTACAATGAGACAACAACAACACACAGATAATAAAAGTGAGATGTGAATAAAATACACATGCATAAATATAAACCACAAAAAAAAAAGAATAAATTGTATGTACAGGTGTGCAGGTGTGCAGGTGTGATTAAACTGCCTCCATTTGTGATTAAACATTTAAATCACAAGAAAATGGAATCCATTACATTTCTGAATTATCTTCAAATGACGATAGTAAACAACACATGCAGAATATAAAAAGCCCTTATAGTGTCAAAAATGTCCTCATTATTACTCTCAAACTAAACACTATAATCATATTTTCTCATTTCAACATAACTTTATTCTCTTGAATCATCTCATGCATTTTATTTGACTTTCCATCTGTCTTATAATTGCTTTTAAGATGTCATTTAGTACAGGTACATTTTATTGAGAGTAAATATTGTGAATCCACTTTAAAATTAGGATTTTAAAAATTGTGATTTTATATTTCCAGTCCACTTCAGTTGTTCAAAGTAAATCGCTAACTTCTAAATCTGTAAAGTGACAGTAACATGGAATTTATTGCTTCTGAGTTTTATGTTTTGATTTTCTAAATCAAAATGACACCTTATATGTTCAAAATTAAGGTTATGTTCGGAAACTCTAATAAAAATGAGTAGTCATTTTTAGCCACTTCTTCTTCTGTATGACCTATTGCATGTGATTTTTAAAAAAAATTATTTTAGCTTTAATTTTATACATTTAAAGATTAAATATTTCTTTTGAAATGATACTTCAAAAATTCTCCAAATAATCATGCAGTTATTTAGATGCTTTTCTTGTCCTTTGTGCCAACAGTCTCTCTCTCACACACACACACACAAACAGAGCCAAAGGCTGCTGTGAATTCAATCAGTCTACATGCTCTCCTGAAACTCAATGTACCATGACACAGAAAATCCTGCTGAACGACTCCTTATGGTCGAACACTCACCCTGCACTACCTGCCAAACCTGAAAGAGCTGTGTACCCTGCTACCGGCAGCCATGCCCCAGTAAGCCTGAGTGGGCTACGATAACGGTTATGCTGATGGATAAAGCAGATCAGCCAATGACTAAAAAAACAAAGCAGCATTGCTTTTTCTCCTTCTTTCCATAAAGGTTGTTGACGCATAGTAGTTCACAGAGGTCAGTGTAGTGGAAAAGAAAAGAATGACAACAGCATGACATGACCAGACCAGAAAACACAGTGGAACAAACAAGTAAAGGCCTACATTGGTGTCTTACATGAGGCATGCAACTAATTTATGTTTATTAAGATTGTGTGTCTTGTGTCTTTACAGAAACTCCTGGAGCTGAATAACCTGCACTCTCTGGTTTCAGTGGTCTCTGCTCTTCAAAGCGCACCTATCTTCAGATTGAGCAAGACCTGGGCGGTAAGCAGTTTTATTTGATTTTGTTCATGATCTATTTATGACATTTTTATTTTTGACATTCTATTTAGTCAACAGTTAGGACTGTTCATTTTTTGTTTCATATATTTGTCCATATGTATTCCAATTAAAATAACATAAGCCATATGTATATAAAATAATATCTATGTAATAAATAGCAATGCATTAAGTCATAAAAATAAGTTTTTAAGATCATTATAAATATGATTTGCATGGGTATTTACTGTTTAGTTATGACATCATCCCTAATTATGATCATAAATTCTAAATTTTTAATTTGTAATATAGTATCAGGGCATCATAGCCTCTACAGCAGAAGAAGTTTCCATATTTTATTTAGGAAGACACAAGGAAAAAACTTCTCATTTAATATTCGGTTCCCTTACAGGGGATTTATTGTGCATAACCACCAAATGCTAGCTGTTCTGCTGCTTTATAATTTAGCTGACAATGCAGTGTTTGTGTTTATTTCTCCAGAGAGCCCCAGTGCTCTTGGATTTCCATTGATCTTATTTGCAGAGATGTAGATGAGAAGGCCGTCTGAATGCATGGGGACAGTGAAAGAATGAGCCCATTGGATCCCGTTCTGAACATTTAAGTGGCTTGGAAAATTTTGAAAGGGCTGTTTCTGAGACCTTTTTTAACGTTGCCAAAGCTTTAAATCTATTTATAAGTATTTGCATCACCCCAGTTTGAGGTCCAAAACCTCTTGGCCTCTTTTCTTGAGGAAAAAGGAGAAGGACTAAACTATATATGCTGTACAGACAACACTTACAACCAGTCCTCAATGAGCACAACTGAATAAGCTGGGTATTTAACCCATCATTTTTTAGAGTGTAAATTTTTTTTTTAGCTATATCGCCCAGCCCTAGGTGTAAACATATAAAGGTCCCAAAAAGCTGAATCCAGGAGTTTTTAAGGTAGTAAATGACTCTTTAAAAGTCAAATCAGGCAGTTTTTTGTATTCACAGTACTTATTTTGTTGAGAGATGTCAGTGGTAGTGAGTTTAGGCTCACTGGGGGCCTTAATGATTTGCGATGCAAGCGGCTTCCAGAGTTGACATTCCACATTGAGCCACAGCACTTCTGCAAATTGAGAAAATATGGAAAAAGAGGGAGCATGTTGTTTATAAGTAATTGCGGCGGGACCGTTTGTCTGATACCACAAGCACAGCTCTCTTGCCATACGTTTAGCTTTGCCACAAGGGAAGTTTGACAATGACATTATTAAATAGAATATTATGCATCATTAAATGATGTACTTAGTTAAATTTACATTTAACAACAAAGTTTATTCAATTTGTTAGTGTAATTCGTTGATTCTGTGTATATCACAACAACCAATTTAGACCTACAAATAATATGCCAATATTTATGAATATATTTTAGATGATTATTATTGTTTTTTGGTTTATGCTAGACACAGAAGCTGACATACAGTTGACAAACTGACAAAATGCCAGTCATCTTTAAAAAGCCACAGACTTTATTCAGTGTTCTTTGCATTCCAAAATGCTTCAGGTCTAACTAGAAAGATTGAAATGTCACATGGCCAGACACTGTGCGCATGCATCAGTTACAGGGATCATTTCTGATTCATTGCAGTCCTGTTTTAAGAGGTTGCTTTTCCATATGTCCTAGAACCCTGAAGCTTGAATTGGAGAAAATGTGCACACTGAACTGTGGTCCGGTTTTAATTATAGATTGGAGCGCATTTCATTTGTTGTCCTGTTCATAATGAAAAGGCACTTGCGTGTATTTGCTGACAGTTTTGCCTGACTATAATGACTGTTTTCGGTCTTTCTGTGCAAATGGTTTCTGTTTCACTGCTCATGGCACAGACTGGATTGAGTAATTCTTTGTCATTTGTTCCAGCCCATTTCTGAACCGCTTGACTTCGAGGCCTTGTTTCCACTTATTTGAAGATTAACTGCTGATTTCCCAGTGGGCATACAATGAATTAGGAGGAATATGGTGCTCACTGGTACACATTTTGGAGCAGATTATATACAAGGATATAGATTTTATATGCCTTTATCGTTATATTCAGCAATTTTAGGTTTATTGGTTTGTTCTATTTTATACATGGATGCAGTGGGGTCTGTAAGTCTGAGATCACTTTAAAAAATGACTTTTTAAAGCTACAATAATCAAAGGATTAAATACTAATCATTAATAAATAAAGAAAGGAAAGTTAAAGTTGTGGCATTAAATGTAAAAAAAAATACAATTCTGCAATTTGTTGCTCACTAATCAAATAATTTAGTGTCATTGATATGATTCTGTCAAATGTTCTTCTTTTGAAACTCAAGATGCACTTTGGATCATTTCAAATCATTGTGGAGAACATGATCATATAGGATTTTGTGGAACATATAGGATTTTTTTTTTTACTCAATTTTTTATTCTGATAATACAATGCATATTTTATTTTCATATCGTATTGTATATTCATTTTATTTTCTAAAATGTGTTTCTAGTTAACAGTTTGGACTTTCCACATTTTAGATAACATTAGTAGTCAATAAAACAATTATAATAACACAAACACTATATAGAAACACAAACGTACACGCAATAACGTGTATGTAAATTTAAGCCAAAAGGTTAATGAGAAATATGGCTTGCATATTATGATAATCAATTCTGAACATTTATTTATTTTTGTATATATTTATTGAATTATTTGGATATAGTATCAGAGTATAGCCTTGACACCACAAATTATTGTATTGTATTTAGGAAGATTTGGAATCCTTATTTGATTTGATTTTGATTTTATTTGATATTATTTAAAAAAAAATATTAAATTAATTTGTCATTTATTCACTTTCTTTTGGTATTTCTGATTTCTAATTCATAAGTAATGCATAATAAAATCATTGTGGGAGTATGAAGTCAAAACAAGCTTTAGAAGGAAAATGGAGAAAGGAAGTATTAAAAGAGCTAGAGGGCTTGTTCACAAAAAGAAGTTTGGCAAATAAATAAAACCAGTTGGCCAGTCATTTTATAAGGAATTGCAACAGAGTACATAGTGCTCCTTTTCTATTGCATGGTTCATTCTCCTACTTCCATTTACTATTAGCTGATCCTCTATTCTGCCCTTGTTACCGTCCTAAGTTACACACAAAAGACAAATTACAAATCCAGCTCTTAACATTGCACCTATGGTTAAGAAGCTCATCCCCATCAAATTCAGTCTAAGTGGAAAGTTGCAGTTGCAGCTGCTGATGTATGGAGGCTTTCACTGCTATCTGGAGCTGCTACAGAGCACAGGGCTGACCTCCATGAACTGTGATGTAATCAAAGTCAGCCATGTGTTACTGCAAAATAAAATAAAGATGTTAGTGGTTGAAGGAATCCCCTCACTTTTATCGCCCTCAGAGGGATAGTTTAGCACTGTGTATGTGTCTATGGGAATGATAAATGCCACTGTGGCAGCCGCTCAAGCCCTGCACTCGAGGAAAGAGGCCGGCTGCTGCTGTGTTCGTGGTGGCGGGTGATGGAGGCTTGATAAAGGAGATCAGAAAAGGCTTTTGTTTTGGCATTTGGTTGCTCTAAATCAGGCAGAAAATGACTAGTCTTGTTGCCGAGATGGTACGCACACACACATGGAAATCACATTCACTGAAACATGTCGGTGGAGTTACAGTTTACCCTGTTCATCATTTGTAATTGTTTTGTAATTAGTTTTTCCTTAAAATATCATAAGCAGTCTCCCTTAGTAGTACTTCAAATCTTTGTCATAATATTATCATTTCCACACCAGGCTCCCTGATTGATGGTGTCGCGATCTAACTTTCCTGCCATAGATTATTTCAGCACCGTTTAAAATCAGCTGCAGTTCTTACCACTTTTTATGTCGAGTAAAAGGTGGAAAATCATTTTTCTGTTCCTCTGTTGCAAGTCCAAAGGAGAAAAATCCAAGTTGTGGTTCATTCAATTCTTCAGGTTAATTTTAGGCCAACATCTAAATGATGAATGAGGGTTAGCTTCCTGTCAAGTCAGCTCTCCACTCCCTAACTATTGTCTGAGTGTAAATGTATCTAAAAACAGGCTCATTGGGGTAACTTGGCTGGTAAATGACTAATATAATCTAATTATTACAGTCTTTCAGTTTCTTGCAGATGCATGCCATTTGAATGTGGCATTCAGTTTCTTTCACTTCATTCAGTTTTCAAATGCCAACTCCCTTACATAGATATGTTTTAGTTATTAGTTTTGCTTATTTTGTTATTTAAAAGGAGTATTTCTGTTATTTAAAAGGAATAGATATATTACTATTTTTGTTTTTACTTTTGAATGTACCACCTTTTTTGTTTCTATCGTCACACTTTGAAAACCTCTGATTTAGATATTTCACACCTGAGAATGATAAATAAGCTGATCCTAATTTACCCACTGTTATGTATTTTATTTTATTTAGTTATTTGTTGTTGTTGTTTTGTTTTTTAAAGGAAATATTTCACCCAGAAATGAAAACTGTCATCATTACTTCACCCTATTTTTGTTGTTTTGTTTTTTGCTTTGCTTATTGTTTTTTTTGTTTGTATGTTTTTGTTTTGCTTTGCTTTGCTTTTTGTTTTTTTTTTGCTTTGCTTTGTTTTGTTTTGCTTTGCTTTGTTTTTTTGTTTTGCTTTGCTTTGCCTTGCTTTGTAAAGGAATGGTTCACTCAAAAAAACCTATGCAACCTATAACACAGAGGGCATTTTCCACAGAGTTAAACAAGATATGAACATTAATAATGGAAAAACAGTACTGTGTGATTACATCTCTGGAGACTGGTGGAAGGTCATCTGCCAACAATGTGGTTTCACGGACTGTTACTTGGATTGTTGGACAAAATCTCTCACCAAACCTACAAAAGAGTGAACTACAATATGTGTATCTGTCTAACATAAGAAGAGCATGTTGAAGTACTTTGTGGAAATTCACTTCAGCATTTGATGTGATAAAGCCATGTGTGATGGAATTCTTCAGTTAATGAGCTTTTTGTAAATCCTATAACAGGGGTTTTGCACATGGTCATCCCCACATATTCAATAGCACATGTGCTGTAAAGAAGCATTGGGTGAAATTATGCCACTCATAAAGGCATTCTAGACACTGAGCCTGTTTATTGTGGTAATGCGCTTTCTATAAATGAGAAATATACACAGGGCCTGGAGTTTGGGTGCTGAGTTCTGGGAAGTTATCCCTTAATACAATTTAATTAGTCTCCCAATGGGTTGTGTCTTGTTTTTCATATTTAACATATTTGCAGACAGCTTTATTTAGATCAGAAGTCTTAGTGGGGCTCCCCTCTGACAAAATTTACAAAACGGCGCCTCCACAAGTCCCCCATTCTAAAGTTAGTAGCCAGTTGGGAGTAACTCTGTTTATTTTACAGAGGCAGTATACTACTGAATTCGTTATACTGAGTATACGGTATAATGAATTAACAGAGGCAGAGCTGAGATGAAAAATATGTTCTATTATTATTCCATTATGAAAAGTTCACAAAGTTAAAACAAGAATATTATTATATAGAGTTTAAAATGTATTCAAAGACATAACTAGAACAGTTTTCCTAATGTAGTTGTCTTTGAATAGCGTTTTTATATATTAATATTTTGTGGGGGTTTTTCATCATATTTGAATGAATTAACAGAGGTAACTGAGATGAAAATATTTGGTGATGGTAATGATCATTTTGCAGTTATTTTAAAATAACATTTAAATTGGATGTATTCATATTTTTGTTTTTAATTGAATTGAAAATAGTAATTTTGTCTGCTTGTATTCTATTGTATATGTTAATTTGATATTTTACATTTGTATATATTTTTTTCTTGTTCCTATCCTATATATTTTTTACTTGTTCCTAAGTATGCACTTTGAATACCTTTGATTTAGATGTATTAGATTTAGACATCCATTAGCTGTTCCTAATTTTCTGAATAAATGACCTGTTCATTCCGTATGTGCTTTCTGTTCTGAACAGTTGATCAGTCGAAAGGACAAGGCCACCTTTGAGAAACTTGACTTCCTGACGTCAAAAGAAGAGAATTACAACCGCATGAGAGAGTACATCAGGTCCCTCAAAATGGCCCCCTGCATCCCCTACCTAGGTAAGTGTTATTAAAAGATCACATTTGTACTTGGGTTAATGGTATTTTGTAGACTCCATCCCCTTATATCATGACAACATCCAGCCAGAAATGTCTTGAGAGATTTACTGGCTTTATAAATAGTTTTTTATTGCGGGGTTGCTATTAATAAGGCTGTAAATAAAGCTGAAGTTGCTTCATTTGAACAGAAGAATAATTTGGGTCAGGGAAAGGAATGGGTCATGGCCCACTGGACTTAGCCAGGCTTGTGATATTGACTCATTCAATTACTTCAGTATAATAGCTTTTACTTTTTTTTTTTTTTGATAAGGTTCATTTTAAGTTGGCTGTGAACACCTCATTATATTTTTTTGGCCTTGTCTCAATTGCACTTTCTATGGTGACCAGCAGAGGGTGTTTCAGTATATTGCCGTGGTTCAGCAATGATTGAGAAATGTGCCATATCCTGTTTTAGGTGTCAACACAGGGAAAATAATTACCTTCATCAAATCATTTCAGGGTTTTTTAGGATTTCTGCTATGCATAAACCGAAAAGCTCTATGACTTTCTAGCCACTTCAGTGGCTTTAAACGGAATGTAGAGATGGAAAATACAATGAAATCATATTGAAGCACTTATTTCCAAATTGGTAGCCCCTTTTTCTCTTATGAATAAATGTCTGTCAGAGACTCTCATTGGATGTTGCAAAAGGCCAGTGAGCGATTAGTTACACACACATCAGTCTCCTCTAAAGGCACTGACAGCACTTGAAATGGATGCCTCCCTCAGGATTGTCGCTCTCGTGGGGAACAGGATCCAGATCCTTCACCCAATTACGCTCTTCCATCTTAGTCATCAGAAGCAAGGTCCGTATTACTAATCCAGCTGTTAACCGAGAGCCAGACTTGATCAGGAAGGGATCTGGAGGCTTTGCCTTCAGGAGGCTTTTTGGATGTTTGGCTATCTTGTTTTTTTATGAGATACTCTTTTTAAGATGTGAAAGTTTGATTTTAAAGCGCATAACAGACCATTCAGTATGTCATTGCCACATGTTTGCGTCCCAAGCTCATGGTCACAGAGTTTTCCAGGTGCTCTTGTGTCATTGTGGTATGTGAATAACTAAAAGGCCAGTCAGGAATAACTTCAGGCGGCTGTATCTCAAATTGTCTCTTGGTCTGTTACTTGTGGGCTGCTTCTTTTCTAGAGGTCTGAAATGCACAAACAGACAGTCACTGCCATTTCTAAGAAGATAAACATGCGGAGAGAGCTGACGCATGCCGTCTCGCTTCTCTCAGCCGCACACATCTTTCTCATAAACCGAATTTCCTTTACATAATCCAGATTGAGAGTCTGCTTCCACCAGCGTGTCAGTAAACTGCGTTCCACTCAACAGAGGGCTTTCTCAGACATCACTCAGCAGAAACCGCTGTACCTGGTGCCGGTAGCTTGTGGTTTAGTTGCAGTGTAACTTATTCCCATTTCTGAGCAGCAGGCAGTTGAAACCGCAGGGACGGAAAGACTGTCTGACATGGCTGAGGTTGTGCAGGCTGTCACTTCAAATCTGTCAGTTTCCACTGTGCTTCTCCAGTGGCCCTTTCCATTTCCCACTGGGACAAAGGAAAAAGGAAATGAAATGGTTTGGGGTTTTGTCAAACAATCATTTAATTCTTTTTGATGTATTTAGTAGAACTTGCATTATCGATTTTACTACAAAAAAAATGTATACAATTGGTTTGTACTAAAATAACTGATGCATCCTGAAAAGACGCATCCTGTTTTACACTTGGAATAGAAGTTTATGGGAAAATTGCACAGCATCACGTGTTGAATAATCACAACTTATTGTTTGAAAAATGTATCATGGTACTGTTTCTAAAGTATTAAAGCCATAACTTACCAGCTTCACTAACAACAGAAATGTAGAGTTTAAAAACTATTAGCCTTAAAGGGATAGTTAATCGAAAAATTTAAATTCTGTCATTAATTACTCACCATCATGTCATTCCAAACCCATAAGACCTTTGTTCATCCTCATAACATAAATTAAGATATTTTTGATGAAATCTGAGAGCTTTCTGACCCTGCATAGACAGCAACACAACTGCCACATTCAAGGCCCAGAAAGGCAGTAAGGACATCGTTAAAATAGTCCATGTGACATCAGTGGTTCAGTCGTAATTTTATAAAGTCATGAAAATATTTTTTCTGCTCAAAGAAAACTAAAAATAACTTTATTAAACAATTTCTTCTCTTCCGTGTCAGTCAACACGATTTTATTTAATTTCATCAAAAATATCTTAATTTGTGTTCCAAAGATCTTACAGATTTGGAACGACATGAGGGTGAGTAATGACAGACTTTTCATTTTGGGGTTAATTATCCCTTTAATGAAGTTTGAGAACTACTTCAGGTAAAAAAACAAATTGCCTAAACCAATCTGCTTTCCAAATATCTGTACAGCTTTTTATTTTAAAGCTGTGATCAAATTTGCCATTGTTCTACAAATAATCCAGTCATTTCAATTATTTGAAAATGACTGGTTTTAAAGTGACTTCTGTAACGAGCTGTGCTTGGTCTAAACCAGTGTTTCCCAACCTTTTTTTAGTCGCGGCACCCTTTGGAATATTCGGTACAACAGGGAAGAACTGCAGAATATAATGTCATACAGATATTTTAATATTTTGTCCATCAATGGTGGCAATCAGTAGGCTAATTTCTAGGCTAGAAAGTAGGCTTTTATACATATGTAAACATTATTTAATTACCATTATAACTAGCTATCTCACAGATTTGTGCTCAGTGTTTTTTTAAACTTTACAATGGGGTCATTTTGGTGCAGTAGCAGGAGATAGCTTGATTTCAAACATTGAATTGAATTGAATAAAAAATGACAAGTAAACAGTCAGTAATAAAATAAGAACAAATAAAGAAATGAATAATGATAGCACAAATAAAAAATAACGACAGGCCTTCGAATTAAATAAATAGCTTTTTAGTTTTTCAGGTAGGTCTAACATTAGGGTTAAGATATTTAAAAAATGTTTTACCAATTATCCAAATAATGTTTAGTCCTAGAAAGCTATTATTATCAGAACTCGCGAGCATAACATAGCGGTTAGCAGATCAATGAATGAGAGGGCAGCGTTACCAGAGTTACCCATTTACCACACCATGTTACAACACAGTAGGGCTATTGCAGACAGAAACAATACTGTACTACATCGATGTTTCCTGTCGGCTCATTTTTCGAGTGGACTTTGCTGTTCCGATACGCCTGAACGGTATACGAGTGGAGCGACTGAGCGGAGCGCACACACATAGAGCGGGATAATACGCAGAGCGTCACACCGCGTGAAAGTGAAACCTTAAATCATTTTCGGCAGCCGAAATTTCGGTGCATCTCTAATTATTGGCGACATTAGAAATGGATATTATATAGATGCTTTTTTGAACATTTTAGCAATTTAAAAATATAAAAAAATGATTTTTTTTACACGGCACCCCGGTTGGGAAACACTGGTCTAAACAACTGACAACAGACAATGGACCTTTTTGCCGTCAAATTTTTCCAAAATTTTTGCAAATGTGATCTTAAATCGTTAAAATAAATGTGATCATGTCACACAGATCTAATGACCTGGAGATAAAATAACTAATAAAAGCAAAGTCATTTATTATTATTTTTTTTATAATTTTTGATTCCTCGGGTACAATTGCCTAGATTTAGATTTCCAACCATAGACGGGACAAATTAAAATGAGTGTAATTCAGCAGCAAGCCACAGATACTCAGTGTAGCTTGTTATATTTATATTTGTATAACATTTACCTAGTCAAAGAGCAAATTTGTTGTATGTTTCATTTTTGAATGAATTGCTTGTGCTTTTTATTTTGCTCATAAACTTCTCAGGAGAACAACTACAGCTGTAGTAGACCGATGTTCAATCCATTCACAGACAGATAATAATAATAATAATTCCTTACATTTATATAGTGCTTTTCTGGGCACTCAAAGCGCTTTACATAGAAGGGGGGAATCTCCTCAACCACCACCAGTGTGCAGCATCCACCTGGCTACAAAGCCTGTAGCTGTACATCCTTTATTGCAACAGTTTGACAGTACTTGGGGAAATCAGTTACACTTACAGTATATTACAAATGACACATTATTTTCAACAATATTACGTGTATATGTACATAAACATGTTTGATCTTCATTTGACACCAACAGCTAATTTACACAGTAAATACAGTTTAAATGGAGCAATTGATGACTGTTTTAAGATGTGTTTTTATGTTTAATTATGCATTAACTACGGCATTATATGAATTTTAAACATGATATTCCTGAAGTAAATTCTGAGTCATTCATCTCATCAGGAAATATATATTCTCATAGCTTTGAATAAACTAGAAAAGCATACGCTATTTATCACTGGATTGGATGTCCTGTGTCTTAGCTAGTTAGTAACAATGAATGAGTACTGATCAGATTATTTTCGAATATTTTATGGCCTATTGAACAAAATAATTCTAAACAACAGACGACAGATTCACAATTGCACTGTATATATAAAGATGTACAGGTTTCACTTGATTTGATTGAACAAGAGTGAAAAAGAACATCATGTTCATGACTTCCTAGTGACAATTATTGTAAGGGAAACTGGACAATTTATCACACTTCATTTTCTGTGTTGTAAATAGCTTTCTTTTGTAGTCCATGACAATTTGGTGTTCCTTCTAAAGTACATCAACCAAGACACTGTTTGTCCTTTTGCCACATATATTATTTAATTGTTACATAAGAAGCCAAACCACAATCTAAATGAATTGCACTTTATAGGGTGAACGTTGACTGTTGGGGAGCAGTTATCGGTTCATTCCCTGTGTTTATGTGCTGCTCAGTGGAAGGTGTTGGGGTTGGGTCGTATCATCATCACAACCTTCTTGAGAGAGTAGGCGCCTCCTCTGAATTCAGCCCAGTACACCCCGTCCTGATAGCGGCTGCGTCATTTTTCG